TAAATATGAATCTGAACTTACCTAATGATGTGATCCGAAAAATGAATCGGCTACTTATACACTATTTATATGTCTACTTTTAAAATAAAACTAATGTCACTATATAGTTGGAACAAGAGCATCGTAACATAGAGTTAAACGTTTGATTACTGTGTTTGATTGTTTTAAAATAATCGAATAATTGTTTTAAGAGCCTCCACTTATGTCAAGCAAGAAGATAATTGTTGATTGTGATCTTTTTCGTCAAAAATTAAAAGAGAAATTATAGAAAAACACATGTTTCTGTATAGTCGGAAAGTCGGGGATTCCGGAGAAATTAAACCGATTGAACACTACGTTCCATTCTAATGCTGCCAACTTAACAATCTACCAAAATTTTGGGAAAATGACAAGTAAGTAGGCCGGGTCGGCAAAAAAAGACAAGTAACTGATTTGTAGTATGTAGTAGTAACTGATTGTAATTGAATTGCAGTTAGAGGGCGCCGAAGAAATTTCGCCCAGGGCGCTAGTAGTGCTAAAACCGGCACTGGGATCATTTCTGGGTAAATACATTGCTATGTTCAATTAAGTTCGTGGTTGACCTACCCATATATAAATTTAAAATTCGTGTAAAGAACATACTTATGAGTAAAGGCTATTATAAAGTTGATGATTATTTTAAGGATCGCAATGCATGGAAATAATAGCCTTCGCTTTGTTCTATAAAGACTGTCCTACAGACTTTGAAAGTTGTATTTATTATTGTGATATGATATAAAATGACATGATTTATGTAAATGTCATTACTTATGATACAGAGCTGGTAAGTTTCTTTCGCTTGTTCTTCTATTCAGCTAAAAGACGTCCCGAATAAGTGGTAGGGGAAAAAATTTTTTTGGACGATTCAAAAGTGCTGGTATAATAGCCTACTTGAATAAAGATATTTTCGATTCATTTCATAATAACTAACATGATCATTACAATAATAAATTGATCATAGCCATGTTTGTTTCACTTTATTATTCTAAGTGTTATATCTGTAATAATAATAGTACCTACGTTATTAATTGCAACGGCTGGGCAATAAGGAATCGCTGGTCAAGTATGAGTTTGAAAGCCGTGACAAAAAAGTTTGAAGACAGACACAAAAGCGATCAGTACGTACAAACGTCAATCTACATATAAAGTCACATCCGTTTGAGACATGCGTCTATAAACTTTTGTGCAAATATGGAGCAACAAAAAAATTGATAAAAGCTGTTCTGTGGGCGGTTCTTTAAAGTGGCTTACTTAACTCGATTTCTATAATAATGGTTTCCGATTTTGAATCAGCATAATAAAGTAAATTAAATTCATGCCTATAAATTAATTTTCTAAATTAAATTCACACCACCAACGATATTACGTTAGTCGAAAACATGATTTTTTGTTTGTATAGATATTATGTTGTTTTGAAATTCATTCGATAGGTTTAGGTCTAAAACGGATAGGGCAAAATAAATTATGTAAACAGGGCAATCCGTTGTAAAGTTATTAGGGAAACTGAAATATATTATAAGTAATGCAAAATAAGTGAAATGCAGTTTCATCAGTTTCTAATAAGACCTATTAGGCCAACTCTCTTAGCTTTTCACGAAGTTTCGTTTGATTTATGTATTGTTCATAAAACGTTGATATACTTTGTAACTTAGATATTTATAGCACATCAGTATTTTTTATTTAATATTTATCTGAGTGTAAATAATTAACTATAGTTCATTATTTCATCTGTTCAGTATCAGTTCATTTTTTATTTTCCCTTGTAAACAGTATTATTTAGTTTTATATAATTATGGCATATACTTATCCATAACGTTGTTATAAAATGATGAAAGAAAAGCTCTACATAAATATGTTTTAGTTATCGATTACGATGCATATAATTAACAATACGATTCCGAGCAGCAGCCTATCGGTACATTTCAGACAAATGGTGGCACAGCGCTATTTTTTGCAAAAGTGCACAAAATGCTTTACATTGCTGTCTAGAAACGGGGTCAGAAAAATTGATGTTGGTTTGAGCAAACAATGTATATTTTATTTGACATTGTGTCAAATTATTACGTTTTTTATATTTTAGCACTAAAATTGTACTTACCAGTAAAAGGAAATGTTTGCATTAGTTAGATTGTATACTTTGCTTTGCTTTTTGCAAGTGATAATAGCAAAAAACGGTATTTTTTATAGAAAAAATCTGTAAAATCACCACTCGACGATTGAGGAACGACTGGCAATCATAAAACCGAGGAAAGGGCGTCTATGAGTAAAAGCGCATATGCCGGCCACGCTTGCCCCGCCCACTTACTACTTCTAATCTCTCTCTATGTTCTGTGGTTTCGTCGGACTCTATTCCATACAAATGTCTAAACAAATATTTCCTCTTTATAAGTAAATATTTATAGATTCGGGGTAGAAACGTGATTGGCACCCTGTGAGTAGGTATTGGTGGTCAACTGCCGACTCGTATTGACGAAACAAATGAATTACAAACTGAAGTAAAAATATATATTAGTTACAAAACAAAAAACTACTTAAGGTATTAGAAACTCTGCAGAACCTGATAATATGTTGATTAAAAGCTGTGATTAAAAGAGTGGGTCGTTCACCGGCTTCGAAGTGTCCTTGTCGCAATCTTTAAGACATCTGAAGTTAATATAAGAAAATTGAAAAGTAATTTTCTTTATTGGCCCGGAGAGTCACTTAGAATTGTAGTAACTTTCGTTTCAATTTCGATAATATAAGCTATTAGTTAGTAATGTATAGGATGTTGGCTTTTTTTTTTTATTAAGTAAAGCAATAATTTAATTTACAATATCTTTCAGAATCAATTTGACAACAGTCGTAATGAATATATGTACCCAACACCCATCGATCGGCAAGCACACTCAATGCGCAATGTTCCGCAGACAAAACCGATTTCTGAAAACGAAGATAGCAGTGATGTAGAAAATTTGATGCCTAGCAAACCCGATAAAGAAACGCCCCCAACTTAATGGGTGTAACAATCGATAAAAAAAATGATGATTTGCGTGCTGTCTCGACAGAGCGCTTACTCATAGCGATATATAAAGATTATTGCAAGTCTCTACAATTTTAATGTATCTTTTTTTGTTAGGGTAGAACTTAGAGAATTAAACCAACACTCTAATACCCAGTTACAACAAACGTCCATTAAACTTGCCACTAAAGCGACATTACCGATACAAATTTTCAAGTTTAGAACATATTACTTGATGGACGTTTATGCAACCGGGTAGGTTCGAACTAAGTTTAACTATAAAGTTATCGATATTCGTTAGTTTCTTGAAAATTTTTGACAGCTTCGTTGTCTGGGTTTTGCTGTGTTTGTGATCGTTACTAATGTATGTCTGTCTCACGAAAGAAATCCCGCGGCATTACTCTTATTCTTTTGTAATTATTCTTTGAAAACATTGTGATCCGAGACGGACTTCTTTCGTGAGACGAACTCTTAGTAGCTAATCCTTAATCTGTGCTACTCTTTCACTATTAATGTTAAGATCAGTTGACACTTGAGTAGATTGACGACAGTTACAGAATAGGTAGATCAATGGCATATTTTCTAAATGTTACTTATGTAATCATCATCAGCCCTTTTTACCTCCCCGCTGCAGGGGCTCAGGCCTTTCGTATGGATGGTTAAGGAGGATGGGCTATAACCGTCCATACTGGCCTTATACGGATAAAGGGTATTAAAAACTGCAAACGTAACCAAGACCTGTTGGTCCCACAGATACCATACAGATACCAAACAGATACCATTTTTTACACCCTACAATCGTTAAGGTGTACTGATGAAGAAGATCAAATCAACTTAGGCCATGTGCGAAAAATAAATGTGAAAGTTATGGTGCTTCTTTGATCGCTTCTTCATGCGAAAAGGATCCATAGAAAAAAATTAAGTATTTATGTTAAAGTACTTACCTACGTACACAAACTGTTCAGGGGCTCAATTATCTAATTTTGAAATCTATCGCAATCCCTTTGAATTTGACGTTTGGAAGATATTCACGTACTTCACGCTATAAAGTATTTGTAATGTGATATCGTTTGCGACGCGACCGCGACGCGATATCGTTAATTTCTCGAATCGTTACAGCTTTTAAAGGGATTGCGGCAGGTTTCAAAACTAGGCAATTAGCCGACATACTGGATTAATTTTGGTTTATGATGCTCAGGTACTTTTTATCTCACCATAACGTTCTCCGTGGATAGCGATTAGCCGTTACGTATATGATCAATATTACCTAGATTCCATTTCAGAGATAAATGTAAGTAGCTGAAAAATTATCATTTTGGTTCATCTTACGTGCAGTGAATAAGAATATTTAATAAGAATATTAATAATAAGAATATTTTAGGTAGTCGTACTGAAGTTTGATGAAAAACCTACAAACATTGTTTCCTAGATACTAGTGTATCGTAACAAAACAATTGGCAGGCTTTAATCAACAGCAATTACTACTTGTTTACCATTACAGAAGCTATATAATTTTACTATGTTTCCTGTTACATTGTCAATCAATTAATAAATGTTTTTAATATCATGACTATAGCAACATATTTTTTTTATGCATGACAATCATTATTGATATAATTATTTGTTATCAGAAAATAATGATATATTAATAAGTAGATGATATTTATTTACCTATGGTAAATTGTAGTATATTATTTAGACACACTGAGTTCATTCTCTCAGAACACAGAAATATGTTTTCTGTGTTTATTATTATAATCAGAACTGAATTGGTTAAGGAATTTAAAATGTTAATATTATCATTAATATTATAGGTTAATATTATCATTTTTATGTATATAGTGTAGCTACCTACTTTTGTATCATTTTATACAATAACAATAATTTTAATCAAACTGTAGTTTTACTATTATTGCACAAATTATTGTATCTATTTATTATTTCAATATTCATTTTCAAGTAAATCTAATGGATAGATAGTTGTGCCTGGCATTATGTTTTTTGTAATAAAAAAAAAGTTAAAGTTACTGAAAAAATTTAATGTAGCATAACTTATCTCTATTTATTATCTACAAACCAACTCGAACAGGTGGAGACACAAGTATGACGCCATCACCCCTGACAAATAACATTGGAATATTCCTTTTAGTTGTTCTGTATACTTCTTCATAGGTTTCTTCATCTATTTCTACAGTGGTAATGGTTTCCTCTGCATCACCAAGTACCATATTCAGGTGCTGGTCATAAGCCTAAAATGGTAAAAAAAACTCCCAGTATAATCACATGGTAAAATATTATTTCAAATCAAAGTGACAAATTATATTTAAATTATATAACTAAATTCTTTTATAAATTACTATAAGACCTGATGTAATGAAACTAGTTAACTTCCTGTGACTTTGCTCACATAATTATAGTATACTTATTAATTCATTTTGGGAAACAACAGCATTGAGTTAGACATGAATATACATAATTCAATTAAGTAGTGCAGTAGCCTAGACAGTTTCCACTGCTAAAAAATAGAGTGTACCTACACTCCCTGGCAAATTTAACAGAACACAGTATAGTTTTCATACAAAGATGCTTGCTTCACTGTCTCACTAATTCAAAGGGAGCATTTTTGATTAAAATATTTAATACAAAACATAATCCATACTCTTTTAATTAAGCATCTCTCAATTAACCAAACAAACCTTTAAATTTTTCCCAAATATTAAACAAGTTAATTCATTTTCGTGTCTCATATAATGTTCTATAGAGCTGGAAATGGATTGACTCATAAATTTTTGAAAAAATTGAGAGCTTTTCTTTGTTTATTCAAATAATTCTTTCGTAAAAATTAATACATTTAAATATGTGAAGTGAGTATGTTGGAAAGAAAATTATGTTACTTTCCACTAAATCTACCGGTGTATGTAGCTTCCTGAAGGAAATAAAAAAATTAAGCAGTTCTATTAGATCCTATTTAATTAAATAATCTTTCCTGTTTCCCTAGGATAGGTATTAATTTATTTTTTATTTAATTTAAGCAGTGGCGAAAAAGTAAGCCAGAATTATTAAAAATGGACTTATTTATACATTATAGTTTACTTACATGAAGTTTTCCACGTAGTTCTCTTTCATTTCTCATCTTCACATAAATCCTTTCATCCAAGCTTAATCTAATAAGATCTAAAGGCTCTTTTACTGTCATAATAGAAACCTGAAAATTATATTAAATAGTCACTGATAGAGCAGCTTAAATATAAACTTATATCTTTTATTTTATTTATTGTATTCCACAATGTAGTTTACAAAAAAAAAGCAAATCAAATCTCATTAGACTAAAATTTATATAGATAATATTCAGATCTTTTAGCAGGTAATTGTAACTTTCATGTGAAATGTACGACAAGTACATTCAGCTTTTCATAATATTACTATTAATATTTATTATAGTTTATTTCAATATAGTTTAAGAAATTGTCATTCTGTGTTTAATAAAGAGTTTTATCCTTAACCTCTATTGTTAAATAAACTTACATTTTCTCCGTCATCTGCCATAATTAAATTATATCAACTCAGAGATATTTTATGATAAGTAATTTGTAAGAATTGTGGATTTACGAAAAATAAATAAGAAATAAAATCAAATTTTACTTTACACTACACAATTTTATAATGACAGGAGTTTGTTTTATTCACAGACTTATTATAGTAGGTATGTTCTATTTATGGTATGTTTGTAGGTATTATCTATGGTCACCTGCAATATTGCCAATCTCAAGAAACTAGAAAACGGGAGATCACCGATAACAAAACAGTGGAAAACGATAGGTTAAGTAGGTACTCAAATAATTAAAACAATCAAATACTTTTATTAGTGATTAGAACTTACATATGTTTATTATATTATAATATTGATAGCAAAATAAAAAAATAGGAGAAAAATTAAACGTAATAAAAAAATAAATTATTTTCTACTTCATCCTCAATCTTTCGTATTTTCTGACTCATTTACCTTTTAAAAGCATACTTTTGTTGAATATCGTCATGTACCTTTCGCTGGCTTCAAATGAGTAGCAATTAGATTATATTTGATATTTGCATAGTTTGTAATATAATAAATATAATATATTGTGAAATAAGTGGCGCAACTAGAGGTTTCCAATAGTTGAATTAATATCTTCCACACCGGAAACTATGAGCTATGATGAACGGCACACACTAGTTTGTTTTTTAGAGAAATTTTGTAATTGTTATTGTAATTTCTTAAAAGATTTAACATTTCGTGCTTGATAAGAAACAAAACACATAATTTTCACAGATATCTTTACTAATGCCAATCGTAATGTTTCATTTTATTTTAATATTATTTCATTTTAAAATATACAAATGTGTTTGAATTATAATGTTATATGATAATAATACATCTTTTTCATAGTTTTTGGTTTTGAATAAATTAATTTAAGTGCAGCAATTATTTTACAAGCAACTGTATTTTTAGGGTTCCGTACCCAAAGGGTAAAACTAGAATTCTATTACTAAGACTTCGCTATCTGTCTAACGCTTCACCAAGCCGTATTTCAAAAACCGTGAAAGATAGACAGTTGAAATGCCAGTAAGCTTGCTTATACCATCTAATACCTGCAAATTGCTAATGCGCTTAGTTGTCATTTTAATGACGTAATGAGGAAGTGTTATAAGAAAATAAAGAAAGCACTAAAAGCACTTCACTAGATGGTGAAGAAGAACTCTAGCAAAATTGATTTTTGCAGGAAACGAATGGACCAAAGATAGTCCTTTTCGTTCCTTTTCAACTGACATATTAAAAAAACTGAAATTTGTAAAGTTCGAAACTTAGATATCAATACAAATACGAAAAAGTACAAATAGAATATGAGATGTTTATTGAGATTTGAAAACTAATTTACTTTTACAAATGAAATAAAACCGGAAGGGTTGTCATGGAGAAATCAAAAAAGTACCGTAGCGACATCTAGTTTGATTTCGGGAACTTTTTTTATACTTCCTCATTGCGTTCAACAATCAGTACCGTTAACAAATAAATTTTAAATAGAGGTTGACTAGTACATTTTTTGAGTTAGATTTTGTTGAGATGACACACAATTTTTGTTGTTTGCGATGGTTATTATTAAGTTTTGTTGTTACTTGTTGTGGTTGACTAAAATAGCACCTACTGTTATAATTTTCACAATAAGTAAACATAATTTCAGTAAAAATAAATATATCAAATATCTTTGATTTAATTATTACCTCGTGTGTTCAAAAATTTTGAGACGAAATAAAAGTAGCTTACTTTTTTGTAAAAGTTGCGTAACTTTTGTACCTCCTCTTGTGAGAAGGTCCTCCACTCGTACTCTATTAACCACGTCCCCCTCTTTGAAGTTTATAGTCTCTTCGGCGTCCTCTTGGGCAAAGTCTGGGTAAATATTCCGTGCCCAAAAATGATTAGCTAGTCGCAGAACTTTGCGCCAGATGCATGGCCGCAGCAAATCTGCATCGTGCATGTTCATGGCACGACTGACGATGTTCCGATCAAGAAGTGGAAGGGTGTTAATGATTGTGGTGTTTCAGATGAGATAGGTACGTGCGTAAGAGGTCGAGAGTTCACGATGGCCTTGGTTTCCACGAGAAATGTTGCAAAAATGTGACGTTTATCTATGAGGCAGGCCTGGAGTGTGTTTTTGACTGTACGCACTATTCGTTCCCAGGACCCACCTATAAAGGGGAAAGCAGGTGGAAAAAAGCGCCAGATGATTTTGTTGTTTGCAGCAAACTCCGTTATCGATCCGTCAAATAGGAATCTTTATTCTCGGCTTCTCCCATGAAATTAGTGCCACTATCGGAGAATAGCTGTGTTGGCGATTCTCTGCACGCCTTAAATCGTCGGAGGTTCATGAGTGCGTCAACTGAAGACAGACTAGGCAAGTGTATTTTACCGAAATGTTTTGTGTTTTATTAATTACTATATAGGGTGATATTTAACTTATTGGTAAGTTTACTATCTGACTCTATTTATACGAAGGATCGGTAAAATGAATAAATTTGTTCACAGTTATGAGTTTACTTTCAGACTATTTGATGTTGAAGTGCCACTTACAAAATACAAATGTCACAGATTACGTTGTCACAGAGTGGTCGACAAAGATTATAAAACAGATGTGCCACAGTATAAACCTACACATCGTTTCTCCTGGCGATGGTCCGATGGCTACGATGAGTGACCGATAGAAAGACTACACCATGGCCTCCTGTCATGGTCTTTCTACTGGTTAGAGGTGTGCTTAATCCGCTTTTGAATCTGCTACAGTACATGCAAGAGGTTGCTATGACATTTTTGATGGTGCTTCTAGCTTTTCAATACAAACTTATGAATTTAGTGATTTTAATTGTGTTTATATACAGTGAATGTTATTGAAAAGATAAGAATAACATAGCAAAAAAAAAAGGCAAGAACCCAGTGCCATTAAAACAAAAAAAAGTTATGGAATGTCAACAATATCAGCGTCATGCCATGCTTTGGTCTGTGGTTATGTTAAAAATGTCAGCATGCTTGCGTTGCGTTGCCTTGCTTGTTTCTGTTTGATTGAAATGGCGATTTGTGTTTTAAAGACGAATCATTTAAGTAATTAGATACATTTTACTTTTTTAATATCATGGTCCGAAGCGGGTAAGTTTTTTGATAATTAAGTATGATCATCAGTAATACTTAGACGCAACAAGCAACAACGATATTTTGTTTGTTTTAGTCGAGATCGCGACAGAGAACGTGAGCGAAGACGATCTCATAGTAGATCGCCATCTCCAGACCGTAAGCGAAGGCGTTCCAGATCTAGAAGTCGCGATCGAGTTTCTAAGTCATCTAAAAGGAAGCGTAGTCGCAGCAGGGACCGCGACTCCAAAAGAGACAGGGAGAGGGATCGTGATAGAAAAAGGTAAATTGAATACGTCTTTCATAGGAGCTAGATCACATATCGTTGCATATCAAAGAACATCACTGAAGTCAAATTCGCCCATTTTACTTTGCAGTCAACATATTTCTTTTATGATTTTTTTTTTAAATTGTTTTACTGACCCTGACTTCTGTGATCTTCAGAAGTGTCAACTATATAATTTTATTTATATATTTACAAACATTTATATATCTGTAAAAATATCTAATATCTTTGGGATCTTATGATCTAATCAGTGATAGATGCATTTAATGAAGAAGAAGAACTAATATACAGTACTTGTCACTAATTATTATACCATCAAGCCAGCACTGAATTAGACTAAATTTGACTCTAGCTATGTATTTTCTAAGCACAAATTTATATGTTTGTTTAGGATGAAGTTTTGCCACAAATGTAGAAAAAAATCATCAACATATTCTTAATGGAAAATTAATTTAATATTTATTTAATTGGAAAATATAAAAAAGAAATTCTTGAACAGTTTATTTTTCTAACTTTTACCCTAAAAGGTGGGGTAGAAGCTATCACAAATTATTTGAACAATCACTATAGGCTGTAATTTGAATTTAAGAGATGTATAAAAATTGAATGAGAATATATGTATATCCTCATTCAATTTTTATATCATAGCATTTTATATCATACTTATGCCAAATTTATTCCTGATAGTGAATTTTCACCCTTTTTCATGCTGTAAAATGAATAAGTGTATGCATACTGTCATTTGACTGGCTGCAGTCTTGTTGGGTAGGCAAATTTTGTTGTCTTCTTAGTATTTCAGAACTCATGTTATTTCAGTGACAAAAGGGATGACAAAAGAAATGGATCAAGTAGTAAGTCATCTAGGAAGAAAACACCTGAGAAAGACAGATCAAAATCAAAAGAGAAGACTATAAAAACCGAATCAAGTGAATATAACTTAGGGTCTGCAGATAAGGTATGTTTAACTGTTTTGATCATTCTAAAAAATAAAGAACTATAGTCTATGACATGTACAAATCTCCTCAAATCTTCCCTCTTTATTATATTAAAATAATGTTATTTATGTGTTGGGTCAAGTGCCCCTTTGTTGTCTCTATAGGTAAGTCATTTTTCCCATTTTTCTAGTGTTAATCAGTTATTTTCTATAAAAGAATGATGATACCATCTCAATGCGGAACATAATTTAGAGTGTACAAGCAAAAGTATTGAATGCAAAATGATAATAACTACCACTTATTAATAAACATATCTATATTTATTAATGAAAAAAAAATGGTACTCTTGAGATGAGCCCGAGGGATGAGATAGAGCAGGTGCCAGGTCGTGAGAGTACCTGGGACTGCAAGATTTTTGAAGCATTTTTCTTTGAGACTATTTTTCAGTATTGCATTGTGAATGCAAAATTGATAAATTACAAATACAAATATAATATTTTTAGGTTATGGTAAAAATAGATATGTTTTTAAATTGAAACTAGATACAGTAAAATTAAATATGATACATTTGTAGTTCACACTCTGTTTCAAATAAAAACAGTACAGTTTCAGATACCATGTGGTCTTTTGTATGTAGCTTGAAGCAGTGGCATCATTGTGGGTCTTATCAGTTTACGGTGCTTGTAGACTCACTTTTGTCAAAAGAAAATATTTGAATTGAGTTTCTTTGTTTTAATTCATGTTTTTTATTCAGTTTAATTATTTTTTATTATTTATGATATTTTGGGAATTCTTTTTGCAGATATTTGGAAGTATACTGGTAAGGCTAAGTAGTTTTTGTATAACAAATTGTATGTTTATGGGTTTCTCTATATGGATAAATTTTGTATGTCTTACATACACAACTCACAACAAAAATTAGAACCATCATTTCCATGAAAGTTAATTCAGTCTTTTGGCATACATATATTTTTAAGGATTAGAAGTATTGGTAGGTTATTAAAAATGGCGCTCACTTGCTTCATACATTGTGTTATATTCTCAGGAAGAAGAACAGAGTAGACTAGAAGCCGAAATGCAAAAGCGACGAGATCGTATTGAGCGCTGGCGTGCGGAACGTAAACGTAAAGAACTTGAATCTGCAAAGAAAGAAGTACAGAAAGGAAGCATAGTAACGAATATACAAGTGCCTGCAGTTAAAAAATGGTCTTTGGAAGATGATTCTGGTGATGAAGGTACATTGTGTGTACAAAAAATTAGAAATGAATTTTTTTAAATAATAATAAAAACGAAATTAAGTGGCCATCGTATTAATTTCAATTTTGCAGGTGAAGATGGCGAATCTAAAGAAAAGCAAGCGGCTGAAGAAAAGAAGGAAGAAGAAGATGAAATAGATCCTCTAGATGCTTATATGCAAGAAGTGCAACAAGTAAGTGGAAGAATATAGATTTTGCTTATTATATTTTCTATGTAGAGATCCACAAATAGACTAACATTTATAGGCCAGCTTATATAACTTAAATATTTTGTGTATTTCATTGGTCATTTGTTATATTAGGAAGTAAGAAAAGTGAACCAAATGGATCAAACCCGGGGTATGATCAGCGTACCAACTACTGGAGGAACAGGTGTCGTCATTCTAACTGGAACTGCTAAGAAAAAAGTTTCGGAGACTAAAAATAAAGGTATTTCCTTTGTATAAAATGTAGTAAAAATTAAATAAATGTTGTTGTTTCATGGTCCATTCAATATGTTGATACATTAATCAAGTGGATGCAAATTTTAGGTGAACTTATAGAACAGAATCAAGATGGCTTGGAGTATTCTTCCGAGGAGGAAACTGAAGACATCAAGGATGCAGCAGCTAATCTGGCATCCAAACAAAGGAAAGAACTTGCCAAAGTTGATCATGCTAGTTTGCAGTATATGCCCTTCAGAAAAGCTTTCTACACTGAGGTATTATGTTAGAACACTCATTAGAGCTTAAAGCCTTCATAAAATTTTATGTAATGTATGTGCAACTGGGCACAAGGCTTTAAATTGGTTGTAAAAAATCCAACCTACTATTATTGACTGACAAGCTGTTGTGCCTATTACACAAATGACCATTAAAATTGTCATTATTGATACAAATCAAATTTAGAACATTCATTAGAACTTAAAGTCGTTGTTTAATCTTAAAGATCGTTTGTGCAACTGGGTTTATTTTAACCTTTGTTGAAGGTGCTTATTTGTAATTTTTTTTATTTATATGTTAAACAGGTGAGTGAACTATCAAGGATGACACCAGAAGAGGTAGAAGCCTATAGAACTGAATTGGAAGGTATTCGTGTGAAAGGCAAGGGTTGTCCTAAGCCAATTCGTACATGGGCTCATTGCGGTATCAGTAAAAAGGAACTCGATATATTGAAGAAGCTTGGTTTTGAGAAACCAACTCCAATCCAAGCGCAAGCTATACCTGCTATTATGTCTGGCAGGTGAGGAAATATTTATTTATTTCATTTAAAAATAAAAAATGCTTCCCAACTCTTAAATAAGGTTGTATTACATAATATTATATTATAGTAAAACATTGTATTCTTAAATAAATGTTATTTTTAAATATTTGATAATGTTGAAATTTATAATGCAATATTATATGTTACTAGCTTTCCGTCAGCAGTTTTGCCAGTGTGGTCCTATTTTTTACATATAAACCATCCCCTTGAATTACTTAATAGATAAAAATATACTATAACAGTCCCTCTTTTTTTCATTACATAAATACGCAGTAGCAAATAATAATCATACTCTATTTATTAACTATGCTCAGATATATTAATTATTAATTTATTTACCTTAGAGATTTAATCGGTATAGCAAAAACCGGTTCAGGCAAAACATTAGCTTTCATCCTGCCCATGTTCCGTCACGTGCTCGATCAGCCGCCGCTCGATGACATAGACGGACCGATCTCCCTCATCATGACGCCCACCAGAGAACTGTGCATGCAGATTGGGAAGGATATTAAGAAATTTGCCAAATCGCTAGGACTAAGAGTTGTTTGTGTATACGGTGGTACTGGAATTTCTGAACAGGTTTGTTGGAATATTGATTGAAGAAAAATTAAAGTGCATGGAAGTCTAATACTATAATAGACTCATCGGGGTTTTATCATACGTCATCATGTTAACCAGGTTTTATTGTATTATAAAGTAAAGATGCGCCGAATGGTGATGTGACTGAATAATCGAATACCAAATACTATTCCGTTCAAACTACCGAATCAGATATTCAGCCGAATTATTCGATTTACCATTTCATTATTTTGCCTCGTGAACAGGTTTAAAATAATTGTTGATTTGAAGTTTAGTTGCTTTATTTTATAGCTTCAGTTAACTCATTCTTCATATGACTATTAAGTTTTGACTTTTATTTCTATACCATGTTGTATAGCAAAGTAAATAAAAAATTATTCGAACGGTATTCAGTTTTGGTGCAGAATAAATATATTCTGTTCTGAATATATTTATTTGCCACCAAAACTTATATTTATTACTTATATATTTATTTGGCCGAATACAAATAATAAAGAGATGTCGAATACCAAACGAACATTCGGCGCGTCTCTTATTGTTATATAATACATTAAATCTAAGTTATTGTTTTTTTTTATATTGATTCATTTCCATGCTGAGTATTTAAATTGTTTAACTGTCTTGACAACCGTGATTAGTTTCATCATTATCAGTCTTTAATGATTTTCATTCTCTTCATTTCATTTTCTTAGATAGCGGAGTTGAAGCGTGGCGCTGAGATGATAGTGTGTACTCCTGGTCGGATGATCGATATGTTGGCGGCCAACAGTGGACGTGTCACCAATCTCCGACGCGTTACTTACGTGGTTTTGGATGAAGCAGACCGCATGTTTGACATGGGCTTCGAACCACAGGTTATTATTTACATATAAAATTACCATTTCCAACATATTTCATAATTTATTGTTATAACTGTCAAGTACCCAATTACGCATTCTTTCCTGTTTTTGTTTGAAAACCATTATTACCAATAATATTATATTTAGATTTCATCTTATGTTCTCAAGGTTTTTTCAATAGGAATTTGGTTTCAGGTAATGAAGATCATAGACAATATAAGGCCAGATAGACAAACGGTCATGTTCAGCGCTACGTTCCCAAGACAAATGGAGGCTCTCGCGCGACGTATACTACAGAAACCAATCGAAATACAGGTAATTGAGTGTATTCATTATGTTAGTTGTGATAAATATTAAGTCGGCGCCATTTAGTTAACATAAAGGCAAACTAGTGATACATAAGTTTTCCATCACAGGTTGGAGGGCGAAGTGTAGTATGCAAGGAAGTCGAACAGCACGTAGCCATATTGGAAGAGGATGCTAAATTCTTTAAGCTGCTAGAATTACTCGGTCTCTACAGTCAAATGGGAAGCATAATAGTGTTTGTGGATAAACAAGAGAATGCTGACAGTTTACTAAAGGATTTGATGAAGGCATCATACTCTTGCATGAGTTTGCATGGAGGTGAGTTTTAAAAGTTTTAATTTGTTTCTGGTTTTTTTTTGTTTTATCTTTTTAACAAAATCATAAATCTGTAGTAGTTTTTAACTATTTAATTTTACAAATACTAAATCTGTCTGATCGTAAATTGTATTTTATTATTTATTCTCTTAGATTGGTGTAATAGTTACTCTATCTATTTATTTCGATTACTGGTTATAAGTTTCCTTATATTTATACAGTACGTCATATTACAAAAGGTTTAATTAAAGTTCATTCTGGAATTCTGTTGATTATTAAGTTCAACATTGATTGCTAAAGTTTGGCCTTATGTAGTGACTTGATGTGTTGCTGTGTATACATATAAAAATATTATTTCACTTAATTATTACATCTTAAAAAAGCTTTATTATGTATATTGCTTTCTTTTCTGGAATTTTCTGGAATTACAGGGAAGTTTCATTTAAAACACGATATTTAACTACATTTATTTTCCTTTCAGCTACCATCCCGTGTTAGACGCGAAGAAGATAAATAACATTTGTGTGTTGCAAAGCTTATATCTTGTTGCTACTGTCCACTATAGGCGTGTAAAGAACTTTTTACACGAAAAAACTTTACGCGCTTATAGTAATCCGTTTGTTGTATGACGTATATATTAACGCTGATCTGTTACAGGGATTGATCAATTCGACAGGGACTCTACGATCGTTGACTTCAAGTCGGGCAAGGTGAAGCTGCTAGTGGCTACCAGTGTGGCGGCGCGAGGTTTGGACGTCAAACAATTGGTGCTCGTAGTCAACTACGATTGTCCGAACCACTACGAGGACTACGTGCACAGGTAATTATCGTAGCAAATCGTAGACGGAGATACTACGTAATCTTTCTTGTATAGACTAAATGATAGTAAAATCTACGCTACCTTTTTTTCACTGTAAAATAAAATGTATATAAGTTAAATATATGGAAAAGGTAGGTATTGCGTGAACTTCTTTATGTTTAGTTTAAACACGATAAATTAACTAGCATAAATATAATTTTAGTAAGCTTTGATTGGATAATAATAATTGATTTGCGTTTCGTATAATAAAATGTTTAAACTCTTACATGTAATTAAAACATAGTTATGTGAAAGTCGTTAGTCTCTTAGGAGAATACGTTTTGTTTCTTTTATGGACGTGATAGGCTAGCGCTAGCAACTTGTGTATCATAGACTATACAATATGTTTTTGATGACGTGCCTTGAATATCAAACAAAACATTTGCCGATCTTGACTCGATCTATTTGTGTTATAAATCATTAGTCTTTTGACATAAGACTCATGTTTAAATGTATGTATTCGGAATAGATGCGGAAGAACCGGTCGCGCTGGTAACAAAGGATTTGCATGGACATTCCTAACACCTGAACAGGGGAGGTACGCGGGCGATGTGTTGAGGGCATTCGAACTAGCCGGGGCTGTGCCACCACCTGAACTGAGGCAACTGTGGGACAAGTATAAGGAGGCGCAGGAGAAGGAGGGCAAGAAGGTCCATACTGGAGGAGGGTTCAGCGGCAAGGGTGAGTAGAACCACATACTAATACAGTAGCGCAAAGAACAAACTGTCGAATTCATGCCAGTCGCTTTGTCAGGGTTGTCGCATTTACATGGATTTTCATGTCTCGAGTTGTGCTCAGTTGGTTTGCCAGGGTAAGATTACTAATGAGCTATTTCAATGAAAATTATACGAAAACATTGTTTCGTAAACGGATGTTTAAATATGACGTCGTCAAACGTGAACCTTTCGTTTTTTAAATTACTTTCTTACATTTAAGGGTTGGAATAATATTTATTGTTATAATCGATATTAATAATAGATGTGTACATAACTCTATTTAAGCAACAACAAACATTGGTGCATTTGTATAATAAATAACCATCCTGGCCATACATTCTGTTACTGGCTGTTTACGTACATTTAAAAAAAATAATTTATTTGAATTTCGAACATTAGCTTCTACGATTAAAAAATAGACTTCTTTCCCGCCATTATTGTGTTTTTTTGTTTAGAAGTATTTGTTTTGAAAATGGAGTGGGGCACTAAAGAGAGTAGGATTGCAGTAATTGCACTGTACAAAGTAGGTAAGGAGCCAGCCGACATTTTTGATACATTGAAAAAGCTAGGGATTAGCCGAATGTTTGTGTATCGTACCATCCAAAGGTGCACTGAAACCATGTCTGTTGATAACTGTGAGAGATCCGCGGTCTATTCGAACAAACCAGGCCGTTAATGCGGTCAAGGCCAGAATTCGTCGAAATCCCATAAGGAAGCAGAAAATCCTTTTCAGAGAAATGAGAATTCCACCGAGGACACTTTCTCGGATTATCAAACAAGACTAAAGTCTAGGGGCTTACTGGAGATACATAGGACATACCTTAAATTAGGCACTAAAACAAAAGAGAGTCGAAAGATCCAAACAGCTGTTACTTCGATACGCGGATGAAAAATAGAAAAATTGAATTGAAAATCGAGGAACACTACAACAAACAAACCGATCGAGTGTATGCATGCACACAGCTCTAAAGAAGCTTCCGTGGTAGTGGCCAAAGTTCAGCGAGGCCATCATCTAGCATACGTCATGGTTTGGTGGGATGTTCTCCTACCAAGCGGTTAAAAGTCCATTTTGGCGAAAAAGGAGTGAAAATTTCAGCCAAAGTGTATCAAAATATCGTATTGGAAGCGGTAGTTAAACCTCTCAACAACACCTTATTGAAAAACGAAGTGTGGATATTCCAACAGCGCACTACCCAAATTTGGCTTGCGCAAAATTTTCCAGATTTCATACAGGCTGATGATTGACCTTCGGCTAATCCGGACTTAAACGATTTGGCTTATAAATTGTGGTCTATGCTAGAGGATATGGCATGCTCTGAGCGTCATTCAAATATTGAGTCTTCTTGAGCGACTTCTTTGGAGACAGCAGTGATCAAGTTTCCAATGGAAGCCATTCGTAAATCCATCGACGAATGGCTCGACCGTATAAAAGCGTGTTTTAAAACTAAGGGTGGACAATTTGAATAACTATTTTAGTATTTTTAAATATATTTTTCACTCTACATAATCAATCACATATAAAACTTTAAAATAAAATTATTTTTTTAGAAATTATCGGATATTTTCTTTGTAACAGAACTTATGGCTAGACTAGGTATAATATATTAAATTACAATCTATGTAGATTTACAGCAATATACTAGGTAAAAAAAATGATTTCTATTATGATTAATGCCAATAGGATTCAAATTCGACGAATCGGAAGCTCAAGCGGCCACCGAAAAGAAAAAATACCAGAAAGCAGCGCTCGGTCTTCAGGACTCTGATGATGAAGATGTAGAGGGAGATCTTGATCAGCAGATAGAAACCATGCTCGCTGCCAAAAAAATTGTCAAGGAAATTAAGGTAAAATATTGAACAATAAAGGTAACATGCAATGAAAGAATTCCTTATCCATATTGTTTCAACGTATCCAGGGCCTGATCTAAGGGGATGGCGACTGTCCGGGCAAGTAAATGGAACCCTCAGTTATCTCTTTAGGACGAAAAAAATAAAATCATTTTAAAAAATTCTCTAAATTTTAATAATTTTCAGAAACGCATGTAGATTATATGATTCGAACAATATCATATATTTAACATACTCTCTTCAAATAGCAGTCATTTAACTTTCTATATAGTAATAAGATTAATTGTAAAAACTGCAAATATAAACCATTCATACCAAAAGTACATAAATATATATGTATATTTTGGTTTGAATACCCATTATGATTTCTTGCAAGAATCAGTTTATACTAGTATATTATATTGTTTTGATAAAAATTATAAGAAAAACATGAGATTAAGCCGCATGAGTAAGTCAATCTCACTTTTATCGTTTCATTGTAGGTATAAGTGCCTTTTGAATGCTCTGTACACCTTCACCGGTTTGACTGGTAGAGAATGCCTTTTTGGCATTAAGTCCGCCATTGCTATGTTATAGGCATAAAGATTAAATAAATAAATAAATAAATAATAAGTGATAGTAAATTGCAATACAAATAAAATATTTCAATGTATTAATGAGATAAAAATTTATTGGAGTAGAGATTTGTATTCGTGTTTAGTGTTAATTACGGCTGACAAAAACGTATTTTTAATACAACACTGGGTTTAAATTTGGGTTGAATAAGTACTTTTCTAATGAATTGATAATCTGCCAAAAAGAAAAATCTTATTGTTTAAGGAATGCAAGCATCCCAATTGCATTAACTTGAATTGAAATAGATGTTGGAAATGTACCGACCATAATATTAAAATTCAACAAGTAACCAGTCTCCCGCGCTAAAGACAAGAGGTGCCCCTTTCCTGTTGAAATTTAATTGATTGACATTACCCATTCAAATTTGACATTCATTATAGCTTCAAGGCGTCATTAAACCTTAATGGACGTTTGTGCAACTGACTGTAAGCGGGCTATTTTCAAAACATTCTAAAACGGTTTTATGTAAAATATCGAACAGCTGAAATATATCATCCATATTTTATTACTGAACAAAGTTTGCAACAAACTTCAGAGAGGTTTGATGCCAACTGATTGGTGAATTTAAAAATAAATGCTTTGCATATAGTCATAAAACATCATGACTCTGTTTTCATATAAAAACGTATTTTGAAACTGAACTCCTCATCGGTCAATAATTTTCAGAGTCATCATCATCACTTATTAAAGTCCATCATTGGGGGCGCTAGGGGTAGAGTATACATATTTAAATTTAGTGTTTATTTTGTAGCCGGGCGTTGCCGCTCCAGGTATTCCAGCGGCGGGTGCGACGGCTGCTGGTACTGACGGCAAGTTAGAATTGGCTAGAAGACTCGCTTCAAGGATCAATCTCGCCAAAGGGCTAGGCGCTGAACAGAAGGGCGCTACTCAACAAGCTGCGGAAGCTATACTGAAGGGGGCGCCCTCTGCACACACATTGATCACGGTAAGGATTCGCATCAACATATACACCAACTAGGAGTTTTTTTCGCGATTCAGTCTGCGTAAATTATCGCACGCGTATGATGAAGTTTCGAATAGGTGAAAGATTTTTAAAATTGGTCCAGTAGCTTCTTTACATTCAGTTTGTTTGCATGAGCAGGCTGCTTGTTTGAGTCGTAGTTAGTTAAGGGTTTAGCTGTCATCTCGAGCTTTAACGGGACTTTGTGGAGCCAAAATTTATTATTCTAAATTAGATGTTTGTATATGTATTATTGTTTTTGAAAACCTCTTTGTTGTTGCTTATAAACAGATTTCAAGATTTCCATAATATAATGGCTACTTAGTTTACGATCTTATTGTGATTTATGACGTCACAAAAATTACAGGATAGATTTTGATAATGGTTACTTCAATTTTATGATGATATTGCTTAGCATGTTATTGACACCTTACACTTGTTTTTTTTTTTGCTAATACACGATTTGCTTAAAATAATGGTCTTCCTAAAATTTGTGTACTGTAAAACTCGAATGACGTAGCAAACATATAAATCAATAATACAACTATTTCCCATAATTATAAGTAATTTCATACAATAAACTTTTTTAATATTATTGTTGGACACCTAATCAGTTTTATTGTAATCAACTAAAGTCGTTGCAGGCTAAAACAGTAGCTGAACAGCTGGCTGCTAAACTGAACACTAGGTTGAACTATCAGCCTCGTGACGAAACTGCCACAGAGCCCGCTGAAGAAGTCTTCCGCAAGTATGAGACCGAACTCGAGATCAATGACTTCCCGCAACAGGCTCGTTGGAGAGTCACCAGTAAGGTAATTAAATAATATCTACATTATATAGTCTATAGTAAACCTTAATTTATTTATGTTAAGCTCAAAATCGGTTGCAGTAATTATGATAATGTATATATATTTATTTAAAAATAAGGAAATAAATAAATCAAGTAACATCCACAAAAAATTGAAAGGGTTTTTAAATTTCAACAAAGGGTATTTGAACTGTAAACTCCAACATGTAATAGCAAAATTCTCCGGATCTAAAATGTATACTTAATGGAGAAGACACATCATACAACATACAAATCATACAATTACATGTGCAGCAATAATTAAAAAAAAAGGTTTGTTCACATAGTGTTATAGTCATATACATAGTAATAACCCTTATCATTTGACTTCTATTTTTATTGATAATAAAATGATCGAGATAATATTCTTTCTAGCTGTTGGTTAGTTCTGTTGGTTGGGAACATCAATTAAACAAGCGGTTTCGCCCGCGTAAGTTTTCCGTTTTACCAACATTTTTTATTGCTGCTTCACTCCTATGTCTTAGCGTAATGTTGTGTAGTCTATAGCCTACCTCAAGAAATGAACTATTCAACGCAAAAATATTTTTTCAATTCGAACCATTCGTTTCTGAGATTAGCGAGATTAACCGAACTATTCAGCTTTATAGATTTTTTAATTGCCTGGCTTTACAAAAACTAGCCGGGCTCCTAACTGTTCCAGGCCCTTATTATAATGTGCTTTTAAGAATTAGGTATAAATGGGTGTAGTAACCGGATGGAGTGCTCATTGGGTAGGTCAAAGGGTGGGGTATACCCACTAATAACCCAGGGCATGCGCCGGTATTCAGGAATCGGAACGTAGTCGCCTAATCAAACCCCCTTGCCCTCTGGTTCCCGTCCTTACAGGCGATAGACGCTCAGAGCATGAAGAGTATTAGAATTGAAGAAACTCGCGCGAACAAACTATTGCTAAAAACGCAGACTTATATTATCTACTGACCTCCCTCGTATAATTTATTATGACTATTAATATAAAATAAAATTATTAGTCATTTGTTTACTATAAATAAGGCCTATTAAAATATTAACCAACTAAAGGCAATAATGTCACAACCCAGCCAAGGCATTAGGGTCAAAAGAGTCAAGCCGCTGTACACCCGCCTTGCATACTGATATTGATGCCAAGCTGTAAACATGTTGATCTGCGACATTAAAAGTTTCCATACACCACTGCTAGTAGGTAATCAATCACTGTGTAGAAAATGAACTGTTGACTTCTTAATCATCAAGTTTGTTTTTCTTCTTTCTCATAATAATAAACAAGTTCGAGAACTTTTGACATCAATTCCTTTGTCATTCTTCCAGCGAATGTCAAAAAATATATAATTGCACATGATGAAGTCATGTCGCCCTTAACGATAACCCTTGCAGTTATATATATAATTATTATGTAGTAACTTTGAAGACTATCTCCTCAGTTCATATTGGATAATCGTATAAGACAGTCATTATGTTACTTAAACTAGCTCTACTCGGTGTTTTCATATTTTTCTGTGTTAAAATGCTGAAAAATCATAGGCACTGCTTCTTCTGTCATTAAATATCTCTGTTCAGGTAATATTATTATAGGCTTGTTAACTATTATAATCCATATTTTGAGGTTATATGAAATCGGTCGGTGCAAATCTGATGGAAGATCCGTCACGCATCTCATGCAAGTATAGGTTCGTGCGTAACTGGTTATGAGTGTGCAACGTCGGTTATATCTTGTAATTTGTCTGTTCTGACATTCCGCGATCAACGGATGCGATGCGATTGTAATGCGACGGATCTTCCGTTAGGTCTGACCGTGTGTGTGCGTGCGTGCATGCGTACGTGCGTGCGTGCGATGCGTGCGTGCATGCATTAGCATTCAAGATTCTTTTTTTCTAACTTTAATATATTAGTAACCAGTATAACTTGACATGACATATCTTATTCTTATTTTTTCCTGTTACAGGAGGCTTTGGCACTTATTAGCGAGTATAGTGAAGCCGGTATCACAGTGCGTGGTACTTATGTACCTCCTGGTAAAACTCCCCCGGAGGGTGAGAGGAAACTGTATCTAGCCATAGAGAGCTCCCAAGAACTAGCCGTTGCGAAAGCAAAGTCGGAAATCACGAGGCTTATTAAGGAAGAACTCCTCAAACTGCAGACTTCTGCTCACCATATGATAAACAAGGCTAGATACAAGGTCATTTAATGTGATGAAATATAGATTGATGAACTATTTGCTTGTTTAATTTTATATTGGAGATCGATCTCTATCGAGTTTGAATCCCATTAATATCTAGCATAAAATCATATTTTTGTATTGGACATCTGAGTTACTCTTACATGATCATCTGAGTTACCTTTACAGAGTTAAAATGGTGTTGTGGAAAGATAATCAAAAATAGCACTTTGTATACGAATTTGAAGTAAAACGAATCTTTAATTTTAATTCAAATCAAATTATGTAATGTTTTTTTTTTACCAAATTTTCGATAAATATTTCTATGATGCTGTTTAAAAAAGAAACATTTTTTATTTTCCTTCTGTTATTAACGATATTTTCAAAAGTATTATTATAGTCAGCTTTAGAGCACCTGAAAAAACTGACAACGACCCAAAATATTACGTAAGCGTTGAAAGTAAACGTGTACATACATATGTAACAATAGATACGTATCGCATAGATATCTGTATCGTTTCTGCAGATGATGTTTTTCTGTTGCCGTGATAAATAAATAAAAATTTGAATAAAATAAATATTTAACCCCTTAATTTTTTTCCCATACAATAAACGTGTGCGAGCGCGAGTCTGACATGTATTGGGCCGGTTTTTCCGGCTTGGACCTGATATTGCAGCAAGTATGTGCACTTGTAGCATGTTCTCGAAAAACTACTAAAAAGTCAAATTCTTTCACTTGATTTTAAACCTTAATTTATCATGAATAGAGTTCGAAATCAATTGAGGAAATTTGACATATTGCAGTCAAATTCGAGAACAGCAATAGTTTTGCAATGAGGGCTACCGGTTTTTTGCTCACCAGATGGCAGTTGCGAACAACTTTGTTTATTTCGTTCGTAGTAACTGAAACTGAACTTTAAATATACATAAACTAATTTATTAAAAACTAGCTTTCCGCCATAGGTTCGCCCGTGAGATTCCAAGACAGCTGTTTATTTGTACGAGGGTCTATTGAAAAGTTCGCGGCCTCAGCAAGAAAACAATATAAAATATAAGCAAAGTAATTTTATTTTTCCACGTAATCCTCACTTAATTCTATGCGCTTCTTCTATGTGGTTCCCAACGCCCGTATGCCGGTCATAAAAAAGGCCCTGAAGCCTTCAAAAAAGTCACCCACCGCAGCGTCGACCTCTTAATTTGATGAAAATTTTTTACCTCCAAGGTGTTTTTTTAGGTTTGGGAATAAATGAAAGTCTGAAGTTGCCAAATCAGGGGAATAGGCGGGATGGGGCAGTAATTCAAAGCCACAATCACGAATTTAAGCCATAGATTCAACAGACGTGTAAACGTGTGCATTCTCCTGATGGAACAACACTTTCTTGCTGAGTAATCCTGGCCTTTTATCTTTGATTATTTCAAGCAAGTTCGAAACAATCAAAGAGAAAAGTTGTAGTTTCACCTTTTGCAAGGTAGTCCACCATGATGACACCCTTAGCATCCCAAAAAACTGACGCCATCACCTTGCCAGCTGACATTGTTTTGGCTTTGTTTGGAGTCGGTTCATCACGTTTTTCCCACTGTTTGGATTTCTGTTTTGATTCTGGGGTGTAGTGGTGTACTCAAGTTTCATCCATTGTTACAAATCTGGATAAAAAATTTTTTAGATCAGCCTCGAACATTTCCAAACATTCGTGAGAAATCGTGACGCGTATTCGTTTTTGTTCAACTGAAAGGAATCTGGGTACCCACCGCGCAGAAACCTTAGATAACCCAAGTTCATTGACTATGATGTTTTGTGTTCGTTCATACGAGATGCCATGTCTGCAATCTCTCTGATTTATCAATCTCCGATCTGTCAATATCAGATCACAGAATTTCCCGATGTTTTCTTCAGTCGTAGACGTCATAGGCCGGCCAGAGCGAGGGTCATCTTCGATACTCTCTCTTTCTCTTTTGGAGTTAGTTTTTTTTTAAACACGTATTAGATGGCCGCACGTTGCTCGATTTTCTCCAATCTTTTAAATTGCTACACAAAGTAGTAGTATTATAATTCGTCCATGGGACAGGCGAAGGAACTAAGCCATACAGCCAAATCTTGGATTTTGCTACACAAAGGCTCACAAAATTCACTGTTTTAATACTTCTTTTTTAATTAATAGCTTATCTGTGTATTTCGCACATTCTGCCAATGTCAAGTAAATTAATTAATTTTTACATGTAAAATGAAAATGAAATGAATGAAAGATGGCGATGACCTATTTAAATACAGTTCTTCTTCTTAACTTTAATGGCACTTTGCGTAAATACAGTTATAATGCTATTGCGATAGAATTTTACAATTTGATAACCAGAGAGTAAACTAATCGAATGAGGTCAGTTACATTAGAAATAGTTTAAGTATTTATGTGTTAGGCCGCGAACTTTTCAATCCACCCTCATATATCGATTCATATCATGAGTTGAATAGTAAACAATGGTTAATACTGTAACATTTTAATTCCCTATACAAAAATCCACTCCCATTTTCATCCTCTTATTTGCTGTTTTTCGGGATTTTATATAGATATAGCCTATGTTCACCGCATATAATGTAGCTTCCCCTAGCGAAAGAATTTTAATTTCGCTAGGGGAAGCTACCTAAATTTGCTCGCTAAATTTGCAAACAAACAAACGATAAAATATTTCCTTTTTATTATATTAGTATAGAAGTATAGAAATCGAGCATGTAAAGGCCAATAAACATTATCCTCTGCGTTATTTGTTCTTTCAACTCGCTAAATTTTGGATCTCTTTTTCGTAGCTCCTTTTTTTAAACATTTATCCCGTAATTCCAATTGCTTTAATAAACCAAAGTTCCCCAAAATAAACATAAATTTTGTTTACTTGAAGAGAAACGCGTTTAGATGCGCTAGTCTATCTCTCTATAGCGCTTCTAGTGGCAAATTTAAACTCGTTAGTCCACATTCAGAAATGGTAAACAGCCAAAAATTGTTTCCAAATCAAATAGATAAACTAAAATTAATAGACGTGACAACGTATGTCTCTTTCTAATGCAAAAGAAAATAACAGTAGTAGTTTAGATTTCTATAACTGGGAGGCTGTTTTCACTCTTAAAAACAAATTAGATAGCAAAAGAGAAAAAAACGTCTTACCTAAAAATAACTGAAGAACGGACGCGTGCGCGGGCGCCCGTACTGGTCACGGGTTATCGAGCGGGAAGATTCCACCGCAAACAACGACCGATATGGCTAATGACTGATAGGTCGGTAATTAATAGCTTACGCTTTATTTATGAGAAAACATGAAAGTTTCCATACTTATGTTTACGTTTAATAAATTATTAGTTAGCAGGATAGAAAATATCCTATGGTTGGCCTGTAGGCGTATGGTTTGGACACGGCCTTGCGCCTCAAAGCCGAAATATGTTAAAAAAAAACCTTAGTATAAGTAATTGCTGACAAATTATGTTTTTTATTCGTTTTTTATGATTTTAATTTTTAATATATTTTGCATCCAGCAAATAAGTTGATCTTACGCCGCCTCTGCCTATGCCACATCCGAGCCTTCCGATATTTCACACAGCTGGTAAATGATGAGTAACGGCATCATTATCTTCAGTTGAACCCTCGGATGATCCCCAGAGTACACCGTAGTGATCATAGTAGGTAAACCCCGTACCAAATTCCTACACCGAAGTCGCTCTACTGGGAGGTACTTTATGTATGTGCCCAGATTACGGGGTTAGTGCGTAACAAAGACTTCTATGTTTACATAGAAGTTTTATAGAAATAGACGCGACAAAATGAGCATGCGTGCAACACTGGCACATACATCTATGTATAAATGGTGCGTAATGGCTCAGTTACACGTGCTTGAAGGGGTCAGCACGTGAAAGGCGGGTGACCTTTGCGGGCTCATCACATTGTTCTTCAAAACAACTAACCGACCAACCAAATCGACTAGAGTAACCGATATATTATTATTTTAAATTTTCATGGTCATAAACATCAGAATGATTGCTAAAAACATTCGATAATATCGGAAACTCATAAAATATAAGGTACGTGGTAGCAATCCAGTTTCTAGCAATCATTCTAGTGTAATCAAGCCATAAGGCTAGATAGGTATTTAAAAAACTTACCATTTTCAATGCATTCTCTCGACTCGGTAAAAGAAAAAAAGGAATAAAGTAATAATTAATGGACATTTTCATATTTTATGAATTTTCATTTTTTTTGTCGGTATTCGTAGTCATGTGTTGCAGGGGTGCGCATTTTCTGTTCAAATCTGGAAAATGAAAAACCAAATTTGAGTGAGATTGATAAACTATTTATCGTACCTGAGCGTTTAGCCTTGTATATCTTGAGGAGAGTGGTAGGCGCTCCCATGTTTTTGGAGAAATAGTTAAACACACATTTCCCCACTTACACATATTTAAAAAATTACACTCGTTATCACTAACTTAGAACAATGCATTAACTAGGAAATGCCTAATCTTACGAATCGCCTCAGCAGATTAGTTTTATTAAAAATAAACATTTATTATTTTATCCCTTGACGCAATTGTGACTTGTCCTATTTATTACGTAAGACGAATGTCATAACTTTAGACATTGCATGTTGTTTGGTGATTCCTGTCATTAGTGCAATGCATTTTCACCTTAGACGATATCTAAATATTTAGGCGACAGAATTGGGCGATTTTTAAGCTTAGCTTAGAAACGGTCATTAGAACATTAGAGCTTAGACCTAAAGTCTATGTTTTAGAGGATGTTGACGTAATTTTAATGTAATTGATAAGATACATGATTTGTCGTTATATATAATGTTACCATGTCACCTATTGATCCCTTATCAACTTATGTTAAGCAACAACACGAAATAATCAAATAGGTAGGTATTTTTGTTAATTTATTTGTTACTAACGTAAAATTCTTATTTATCCGCCTTATCGCATGCGTTTAACTTACAAAGTAGACGTCATTTCCCCATTAGTCTAGAAATGAAATCAGCATTTAGATTTTATTCATGGACTTTTGTTGAATTTTTTGTGTGGTCCATAATTGAGTCGCGTTGGGTTGGTAAAAACTATGTTCCGAATTTAAGCAATCAATTAATCTTAATTAGATTTGTATGTACATAGGGCTGCACATCAGACCACCACAAAATGCCAAATTCCCTCAATTGATTTTTGACTTTATCCACAATGCTTTTTTGTATATTCTTTGCAAGTTTTGTATAGTCTCACATATCTACTACTACGTACATAAAGTTTATATTTTATTTAATGTTTTATTAAGCTGCACAATTTTAGCTGCAACCTTTCCTTTACAATGATTTATTTTTCGATTATTAGTTATAGATTTAAGGATTTTCGATTAGAAAGGAAGGAAAGCTATCATATTACTTTTCAATTACGTTTTTAATTGTAATAAAAATAGTTGTAATTTATACAAGTAGGTAATATGTCAATACCAGCAAATAGTCACTATGAAAATAAATATAAGTTTGAACAGCCAGTTGCTGGGTACAGTACATATAGTGTATATAAAACACAAAAGTCGGTTGTGTTGGTATTTTAAATAAATAATCAGTAGATCACGGATTGATTTGATATTCTAATGAATGATAGATTGTTTGTCTAATAGTGCAATACTACGATTTACGTATAAGAAGATTTAGATTAGTTGATAAGTACTTTTTCGTATTTTCTGACAACACAAATCACGTTTTCACTGTATGAACAGAACATACCACTATTTATCGTTAAGCATCTACGTCATATAGAGCTAGGCTGACTGAAGCTACTGATAAACATAAATGTTTTCATAAAATTCGACCTTTGACGAGTATCATAGTCCGACTGAAAAAAATCTTGGACAGTCTTTCTGATGGAATATGTGTCAAGAATATCTATTGCGCTAGGTATGAAATGAAGCCTATCTTAACAGTCTTTATAAACTCGCCATCCAAATTGATTCGTCATCGAAAAAGCATAACTCGATATGGGTTGCTTTTTAAAATGCTATGCTGATACTAATACACTCACTGCGTGCGTACAGACAACAGAAAAATTAAACACCATTATAAATTAAACAGTAATCATAACCACAACTTTAATTTACAGTACAGTATACTAGTATAGTAGCATGAAAATATCAAATACTCACCATATACCTATACTCCATTCATTATAGCATTAGACAGAATGAAAATAAGGTTCTTTTTATGGTATACTTTGTGACAAAATGTCAACAATCATGTTAGTCTTAAGAGTAACGGCTAATTTGCTACATATCCACTTAAATACCAGCTGCTATACTTAACCGTAGTTTTTTAAGTTATATATTAAACAAATTTATGAGTATTTGACTGACTTAAAACATTTAATAATTATTACAATAAAAAGGGTTCATCTTAAAGAACCTAAAGAAGCAGGTTTAGATAGTTTCGGCATTATTCTCATGTCACTATAACTCTACCAAATTTAAAACGTTGCCTAATCTCTTCCAAAGTTTCAGCAGTACAGCTTTTTAATTTTGTCAGATTATGATTTATTCATAATAGTAAAAATGTAATCTGGGAATCTCATTCATTGTGAATGCTACTGCCTTTCTTGTTGTTTTGTCATTTTCGGTGATTGAGTAATTACTGTTTTATTGTTGTTTTCTTATAGTTTTGTTTTAGTTGTTATCTTAATGTTGTTAAGTTTTGCTAAATTGCGATTCCGGTGCAGGCCCGATTGGCCTACAAAAATTACACTCTAAGCCCTCATGCCTACCCTCAACCATTGACATTTCAGGAAGTTTTTCCAATGTCTTCATCAAAAGTCTAACTAATTACACTTACAATTAGAATTTATCAAAACAACAGATAGATAGTTTCAGTTTTAGTTCCATTTTGGCTTGGGAGTAAAAGATGAATTTATAAAATGCTGGCCTCATCTCAACCCCGAGGTATCGTAAAAAATGGAAAATTGCCCGGCTCTTTCAGACAACCTAATGTTCAAAGTTTTTAAAAATTCTAATATATATATATTTTAAATATCTTGAAAATAAAATGTTCTGAACTGCTGCTTCTATTACCCTCTTTTTTCTAATGTTATAATGAATGGAGTATACTTATCCCTGGACTTGTGCCTTGACATGATAGTTAAAGTAAATTATTAATCTATGACCTGAAATAGTGTGGCAATAACTACTTTTTCTACTGCAAAAAAACATGAAAAGAACGGTTTTACTGGAACAATTATTTTTAGAGACAATGGAATTAAAAGTGGTGAATTGGGTTGGCTGGAGTAAGAAAGGCAACTTTTTGTGTACAATGAACCGATTGAAGCGTCTAAGACCTGAAAACTGTAGTCCTCAAACCTAACCTGACATATAAATAAAAGTTTTGACCATCTTCTAGAGTTTTGCAGAGATGTGGGAAATTAGATAGATAGTTGATTTATTTACTTTTATTTTATATATAACATATCATACTCTAAAAGAGTGATCAATACTCACAATCTCTGTCCACGTGCTATGAAGTACCATCGTATCACACTCGATAAATAGCAGATCAGTCACGCATTCAACAGATTGATAAGCGTCTGACTGAATGTTATCGTAATAGATAACACTAATTATCTTTTGCAGCAAGTCATTTATTTTGGGTGTGACTATATTGATAAGAAACAACTGACATTTGTGTACTTACTGTATTTGATAAAAAGAATTCAAGATTAGGTACTTTTGTTGAAGTTTCTAGATCGGAATTTGTTGTTGGTAGAAAAAAATTGGCTATCCATATTAGAATTTGATGAGTCATCATCATCTACCCAAACTGTATTGAATTGAAAAAATATAAAAAAAAATAGAACCTTGGTATCTTTCAGTTAAATATCTACATTATACCTATTAAAAGCATAACAAATAAATAATCCATATTAACTACTTACTGATACTAACTTATCTAGATGACACTATGGAGAAAGAAATATCATATTTCAAAATAATATGTTACTACACATTTAGGTATATTAGGTATGCGTATTTATCTACTTAAAATGATGATTTATTTATCAAATAATTGCGTAAGATTACACAAAATGTTAGTAATATAATGACGTATCTTATAATAATAATGGAATGAAATAAGCTATGAGTAACTAGGAGTTTGAAGTGATTAATTTATTAATGTTTCAACAAGTCTTACGCATTTCTTATCTAAAACTTGATAATAAACTTTCCATTGGGTGGACGCGTACTAATTGCCTATCTTTTAGTGGGCACTTCTTAGGTTTCTCGGTTCCTCGCATTCCAGATAATTTTTAAGGTTCTGTACCCAAAAGGTAAAACGGGACCCTATTACTAGGACTCTACAGTCCGTTCGTCTGTCATCAATTTAGACACTTGATATTTTCAAAGATTTCTGTTGTTGCAATAACAACAAATACTAAAAACAGATTAAAATAAATATTCAACGAGGGAGCTTTTTTTCGTTTTTCCATATATATTGGTACGGTATTGTTAGTGTGGGTGTGGGATATTTTGCATAGATATATCTTGGATGATAACACATTATTAATATGAAATGGGGCTAATTTGACGATGGAGCCATAAGGTAGCCGTTGGGTTTTCGGTATTAAACGTAGCAGTTCCATCGAGTTTGGATTCTTTTGATTTATCTTGTTAACAATAACAACGAAACGTCATTACAGGTCTTTAATTCGTTTCAGCTATAAATTAGCAGTGGTTTTTAACCATTTCAGGATTATTATTACTATGACCTATAAGGAAAGCTGTCGATTCTATACGTAGGCCAAGTCTGTGTACCAGCATTGAGAACATTAATAGGCTGATGATAATGATTGATAGGAACAAAGATAGTTTCTATAATGATGTATGTATATTTCGTAGCCATTTCACAAAATACGCCACGATATGGCCACGACATTTACATGTACTACTTCTTCAAGAACATTTTTTAAGGGAGGTTATTGTTGTGATTTATTATGTGTGTAAATAGGTATATGAACATTTCACAGTTGATGATATATAGGGAAGTATAATAAAAGCATCAGTAAAACTAATCTATAGGTTAATTAATGCATCAAGTGTTAGTATAAATAGGAAATGGGAAGGCGCCGTGTTAATAGTGTATAATGATTTCGAACTATCTCTACGAATGATAACCAAAATAAACATTAGTGACATGTATTTACTCTCATAGGAATTATAAATAATTGGTTTTCCACATACTACTGAACTCACGTGTACTTCAAGTAATCGCCTAATAGATTAGACAACAGGCCTCCCCCTAGGTTTAATCTTACCCTGTATAAAATTGTTGATTATGTTATTATTTAATCAAGCTTATTTATACAAATTTATTATTTAATGGAAGTAAGGGATTTGTGTCGGCACGTTTCTAAAATTGAACCACTAAAATGTAAACTAAATTGAACTTAAACAATTGGTTCGATGAAAAATGTATCGACTGAAAACATAAAGAAAAAATAAAAAATCTTATAAAAAATAAACATATGGAAAAAGTGGACCAGTCTCAGAGAATGCCGAATCAGATATCGAAGAAGAAATAGATCCCAATGTATGATTTATGAAATTCTATTGTGTAATATTAGCAATTAGTTTGTTAAAATGATGAGTGCAATTTTTAGAGCTATAACATTCAGTTGTCTTCGATAAAAAATGTATTTTGGAAGATAGGAAATTGTATAAGAGTGTTTGATTATGGTTAGTTTGTCCTATATACAAATATTCTATCCCATAAAATAATTTATTGGGTTGATGTAGTCAAAGATGGCGCTAGTTGTATTTTAAATGAAGCTTGCGCATTGCATGAAGAGTAAAAATGAATTCCGAGCAGTTTCAGAACCTATTTTCCGGAAGAGTAATGACTTCAGTTTTGCTATTCTCTAAAAAAAACAGCATCGTATGCAGCGTCGAACACAGTGCTGTCGCATTATAGAGGTTCAATAAAAAACTTGTATTATCTTTTGAAGCCGATTTTATTAGAGTAAATTTGTAAGCTGTCACATCGTTCAAAGTGTTCGACTTTTTTTGAATACAGCAAAGCTTAAAAATCTACTTTTTCGATTATTAAGAGTGTAAAGTCGAATTCACGTTACAAAACGAGTGTCACGTGTCAAAAAACAAGCCTCACTAATTTCGGCACATTTGAAATATTTTCGTAATGGCGTGCAATCTCATGAAAAACTAACTCCGTCAACATCTAAGCTTAATTTGATATTAATTTCGCCAATTAAATCGAGGTGAACTTAGTTGGGTCACAAGTTTCATTAAAAATATGCACATTGAATGAAACTACTTTAGTGTCGTGAAACTTATGCATGCATTACGAAACTGGATGTTTACACGTTTGTGCAACTGCTAGCGAAATTAATGCAATGAAACTGGTTTCATGCAAATCACAATGAGACAAACTACCGATACATTACATTATCACTTGTCTCAAAGTTACTTTTAGTGAATATGATTCTGCCTTATTAATTATCAAAATTAATATGTATATGAATGCCACGATCACGCGTGTTAAAGATAAAAGTGTATTATATTAATTTCTTTTACATATCCAAAGATCAGTAACTATTAATATTCTGTCACTATCACTTAGGTACTTTTAGGCATCATGCTTGTATCTACTTTAAGTAGGAGTTTATGAATATTTTTTATCTTAATATGAACAGAAATCTGGAAATAAATTAAAACTATCGAAACAATTTTTAAAGTAATTTTTGAAATATATATTTTAATATTATAGAAATTTTGCATTCGTAACTACTTAATAATAATATATTTATTATTCTAAAATACTTAACAGATACAATACAGCAGAAATATAATATTGTACGTATTTTTCTATATGAATACTAGTACCCTTATTATCTCATTTTTTAAATTATCTTTGCGATGATAAATCTAGACCAAAGACCTATGTATGTGTGTAATATTAAGCTTTAGTTGTTGAATTGGATAGTTTTATTTACTGTCATCGTAATGTCTGGATATTGTTTAATTTTTTACATATATCTCTAAAAGCACGCGTTTTGCGGTAACTTATCTTGAGGTCAAATTAATTACGATATATGTATATATTTTACTTGTGCACATAGTTGTCGTAAGTCTGCTGTAGAAAACAATATCTAATTTTCAAAATATATGGGGTCTTCTAGGTATATACATAGCCTTAGAGTCTGCAGCTCTTCTTGCAGGATCCCAGAACCCCCGTCTCCCCTAATGAGTTTTGGTCAGGACCATTCCAGTCCTAGTTTTCCCAAAGGTAATCCAGGACGCCAAAATATTCCCTATTTTCGAAATGGACGCACACTGTCGGTTGCCTGCGAAGTTGACTCACCTATCTATACGAATTTTATTCAATTGTTTTCTAATTACTTTAGGGTGATTTGAAATCATATCCTACCGAAAAACAAGTGTCCGTTTAAAGACAGGCGTCTGGGGGTAGCACAAACATAAATTAGGTAGGTAAGTACTTTCACTTATAAATAATTTTGAATGAAGAAAGAGACACTCGGGTGCTGTAATTATTAAATCATTTTCTTAAGTTACATTGTTTTGAGGTTCTGATTGAAAACAGCCTCCTGGCGAAGTTTCACTGAGGAGATAAATTCCACTCAACAGGCAAATCGGGTAAGGTAAATCTTGGCCAAGCAGGGACCGGGTGCTTTAGGGAATCTTCGGAGACCCGACGGCACGATGACCCAGAACCAGAACGAGACCGACCACATCCTATTACAAACCCATTTCCCAAACTGTCAATCAATTGAACAGGTAGTATGGCGTGACACTACGCCAACACCGACGGAAGAATGCTGGCGTCTCGCCAATGAAATCGTAACGTCTGTGAAGGTGAAATGGGCAATCAATAGTTTCTCACCCTTCAAGGCAGCAGGAAGTGATGGCATCTTCCCGGCGCTACTACAATGGGGGGCGAAGACATAGTCTTAGCACTCACACGTATACTACAGGCGTGTCTAGCTCACCGATACACGCCGCACAGATGGAGAGAGGTAAAGGTAGTAGTCATACCCAAACCGGGGAAATCCGACTATACTAACCCCAAATCTTTTCGCCCCATCAGTCTAACATCTTTCCTACTCAATACTCTAGACTCTAAACTCATCTGTCTGGGCACCTTCATTGACATTGAAGGCGCCTTCGATAGAACTAACTTCACCAGCATTGAGGAGGCTCTTAAAAGACATGGAGCTGAGCCACAAGTTATAGACTGGATCGTAAACATGCTACGTAACAGGATAGTACGGGTAGCAGATGAGGACAGTACAGGAGCACTGGTCGCACGGGTATGCCCTCAAGGAGGAGTACTCTCACCGCTACTATGGAACCTGGTGGTCAACGATCTGATAACCCGCCTGAACGCTGGTCATTTCTACACCATAGGGTATGCCGATGACATTACAATACTCACTCTAGGCACCCACGCTGGTATAACCTGCAACATCATGCAAGCAGCCTTGAAACAAGTCGAACGCTGGTGTGAACAATACGACCTGGCCGTGAACCCAGCAAAAACGGAACTGGTAATGTTTACAACCAAACGCAAAGTAGGCACGTACTGCCTACCGAAGCTATTCGGCACCACACTACAACTGTCCAAGGAGGTA